CCCGGCCCTGGGTCGGTGCCCCGCCACCACCCACCCTGCCCTGGGTCGGTGCCCCCACCCCCCGCCCCCCGGTCTGTCTACAGTTCTGTGGAGCAAGCACCGGGGAGGGCTCTGCCAGGGACACAAGGTGCTGCCTCTAGCCTGTCTAAGGGTGACTCTGGGGCCGAGCCAGGGCACCAGTGCCTAGAACGAGTCTTATTTAGCTGTGAAGGTTTCCCGTGACAGTTGGGTCTGACCCAAGTACTGACAATTGCTGATGCCCATTTGGTGTCCACTGCGCACCAGGGCCTGTGCTGCCTGCTGTACTTGCTGTCCACATGGTCATCCAAGAGCCCCATGACGCAGATATGTCTGTGCCCCTTTACAGGCACTGACAGTGAAAGCAGAGAGGAGGTAACTTGGTTAGTGAGCGGCTGGGCCAGTTGTAAATCTAGGCAGACTGGCTCGGGGCCCACACCCTCTCGTGTGGCTGATCACCTTTTCTTTCTCACCTTGACCGCTAGGAAGCTCAGAGCTACATAACATGGCAGCTTTCTGGCTCTCCTCTTCCTTGTCCTTGTTTTGGTGCTTCTTTCATTCCCTCTTTTAATTTTTGCTGCTTATGGTGTGGAACCTACCTTGTAAGCTACCCCAGTTGTAGCCTGGGACTGGGCGTGGACAGACGGACAAGGTATGTTCTTACACCTTTCATGTTCTGATATTCTAGGAGGGAGAGGACAAAATCTTTTTAATCAACAAGCTTCACTCCATCTACGAGAAGAAGGAGAGGAGCAGGTGAGGGGCCCTGGAGGGGACGAGGCCACCCTGTCTGTGAGTGGGGAGGAGAGATGGGCTGGGGGGCAGCCTGAAGCCGCTCATGGCCTGCATCTGGAAGCATCTGGGAGTTTTAACGTCACGCATCTCCTCACGCAGTCACTTGCTAAGCAATCGTGGGTTGTGGGGCCCTGAGCTGGGCCCAGTATCCTGAGGTCAGACGTACGCCCCCTGCCTTCTTTCAGCCCAGGGTGGGGAGCAGACAGCCCCCCAGGCCCAGAGCTTGCACCAAATGACACCTACGCCACTTGCCTGCCACCACTGGTTGGGCCACGTGAAATTGTTGCTGTTTGACTGCTTTTGACATGGCAGCTTCATGTGGTTCAAGACCCCCGCGGGAACAGATACATTGGGGGTGAAGCCTGGTGGCCTGTGGCCCTTGGTACCTGGCGTCTCTGCTCCCTGGCCTTGCTGTAGGCTGCCCTGGCCGCCGCCCAGCCCACCTCTCACTTTTCTGTAGGAGAGAGGCCCAAGTTTCAGTCTCTCCAAAGCCAGGCTGGGGGGTTTGGCCAGGACCTCTGAGCCCCGAGGGCTCTTTCCTAGCAGGCTGGAGGGAGGGCGACGCTCCCTGAGCCACACGGCCCCTCGCTTATGTGCCTTTCTGCCAGCGCTCCTGCCCAGATCCGGGACGCACAGGAGACCCTGTAGGAAGACATCTGTGGCCACTGCTGCCCCACCCCCGCCCCATGTCGCTGTCAAGCGCAGATGCCGTCCGAGACCGTGCTGGCCCCTCACAAGCTGCAGCCTGGACTCCCACACCGACCCCCGTCCCGCTGGAACTCTATTTATTCTCATTAAACGGGTTTTGCAAACTGGGTCTGTCTATGGGGAGTCTGTGCTCATGACCTGGGCCTGTCAGGTACATGCAGGTACGATGGCCCCACGTGTACCCAGCTTCCCGCTGCCCCAGGTGGATGACTTGCAGGCTGAGGTCGAGTCCTTCGCACGCCACCTCCTCGGCCTGCCCCTCCGGCTCTTCAGGACGCCACTTCCCCTGCCAGCCCTGTAGCCTCACCACTTGCCCACTGAGACACCCGCTGTCGCTCGAGTCTGGAGGAGCTCTGGCTGAGGGCGCCCTCTGCTGGCCAGGCCCCAGGTGGCAGGGACGGGACTCTTGATGGGGCACCTGGTGCCAGAGGAAGGAGGGTCAGAGGCGCCGGCCCAGGAGTGGACCTGTGCGTCGGAGAGCAGCAGACAAGAGGGAATGATGACAGGTGGGTCCAGTGCCAGAAAGCCATGGGCAAGCGATGTGTTAGCGATTACGGGGGTGCCTGCAGATGGGGTGTCTCAGTGGTGAGTGAGCCAGCTTTGGGGAGAGCCTTCTGGGCAGGGTGGCTGGCGCCCCAGGGTGTGAGGTGCTGGGCAGGATGGGTAGAACTCGCAGGAGGGAGCCTGGCTGTCCGTGGCTGGGGGCAGTCCCAGCTTCGACCAGGCTGAGTTTAGGAGCCTGTGGGAGGCCATGAGTCCAGGCTGCCCAGGGTGGGCTCAGCGCTGGGGGCCAGCAAAGCCACAGAGGGAGTAGGCAGCCCGCCTGTGCAGGCCACCCCGAGTAGAGACGGCACGTGGGCCGTTAGCAGTGCCCCCAGCACGTTCCAGGGGACGATGCCACGTGGAGACCACTGGCTGGTGTGCCATCGGCACTCACCTGGTGTAAGCCCCACGTCCCTGACAGACTGAACTTTCTGGTCAGGGCTGGCGTGGCCAGGCCAGGTGGCAGCTGGGGACTCCTGGCAGTGCTGGTGCTGGTCTGGGCAGCAGCTCCTGGCTCATTTCTGGGGTTGGTGGGGGTGCTGGGTGCAGTAGGCAGTCCAGAAGGCGTGTGACCGACGGGGCACAGTCACCAGACCACACCCACCTGCACGCTTCCTCTGAACACCTGGTTGCTCTTCTGGGGGTGGAAGACTTCCCATTATCATCAGAGCTAGGATTTGTCGACCACTCCCCCGGGCTCCTAACAACCGTGGGGCGGAGTTGAGCTCCTGAAGACGGAGAAGTGTGGAAATTGCCCACGAATTTCTGTAGAATTCCTGGGTGACTGAGGCCAACCCCCCCGGACACTGTGAAGCGCTTCTTCTGTGGCGGAGCCAGTGGGGGTGCAGAGCGCAGGCCGGGCCATGGGCCTCACTAGCTGTAAATCCTTGGCCATGTCCCACGACCTCTCCGGGCCCCAGCCCTTCCCCTCCCCATCCTCCCCCAGGGCCCCCGGATTCTGGTTGGGGTGTGCCATGGGCACTACCTGGATCTGACAACGTAAATGCCATCGCATGAGCCTGAGGCAGTGCTGTCCACTGGGCGCCATCAGGAGGTGAGCTTCCGGTTTCCATGGCGGCTGGGGGCCCGACTTGAGGCGGGCATGCGCCTCATCCCATTGCAAGGGTCCAGAGCATTCTGCCAAGAACACGGACAGGCAAAGCTGGTGCGTTAGCTGCCATCTCCGTCATGATTCCTGTGTGGGTTTTTCTTGATCTGTCCCAAACACCCTGTTCCTGCAGCCTCCTCAGAAATGCCCCACCGTCGCCATTTTCCCTCTTGCCGCTGAACACGTGCTCGGCTCCTTCCCGCCTCAGACTCTGATGTCCCTGCTTGTCCTGACACCTTTTTCCAGCCTCTCCTCCACTGTTCAAACAGCCCTTTGCTCTACGCAGCCTGCTACTAGCCACTGAGAAACCCTACCTTCTTTCTTTACAATTCTTCATGGTGTTGCCAGAACAATTAAAACAAAACAAAACAAAACAAAACTGCAGTTCTAAACCTATCGTTTTCTTAACCAAAAAACCTGCCTGTCCCCATTGCTTCCAGAACTGCACTCTACAGCAAGGGATTGGGTTCCTGACGCCGAGACCCCGCCCTTCCCACACACTCGCCCGTACATGCGAGGTGTTCCTTGTGGTCTCTGTTCCCATCCCATGGCCTCGAGGCCCAGGGCAATGCTGCTTCCTCCGTGAAGCCCGCCGCACCCGTGGACTTGCCCTCCCTGGGGCAGGCACTGACTCTGGACATACACTCACTGAAGGTCTGAAGTGGAGCTGAGAGTTGCTGCCTCCAGGTTCACACTGGTTAGAATTTCATGTGCTTTTTGACTGTCCAATTTCTGGGTTTCATCCTTCCTGCTGGTCTTTGGCTTCTTTTCCTGATATGGCCCATTCGGTGCCTCTCTTCTCTACCTGCAGGTCAGTCCGACCTCCTCAGGGTCACGTGGAAGCGACCCACAGAAGGAAGGTCTCTCTTCTGACCCTGCCTGAGGGGGCTGACATAGGACAAGGCGCCCATTCTGCAAGTCCCCAAACAGTGGGCTGCAGAAGGCGGCCTGGCTCATCCTCAGGAGACCACCTTTCCACCGTGATGCAGATGTCCTGGGGCGGGCCTGCAGAAACACACCCGACTGTACCGACTTCCAACCACCCTGAGGTTGAGCGAGAATGTTGCTGCTCCGTGCAGCGTCCTGCATCAGGGCACGAATGCTGTGCAAGAGCGAGCTGCGGCCACTGTACAAAACGAGCCACGGTGTCCAGGAAACACGGGCACCACCTCGTCTCTCCGAATGTGCCTGATGCCCACACTGGGCCACGGTGGGTGACCTGTGGTCCCCGGCTGTGATCCTGGCCGAGCCCCACTGCCATCCAAGACGAGACCATCTTGGTCACCAGATGCGAGGTTCCGGCGGGGACAGGCGGTGCGAGCTCGTATCCTGTGTCCTGTCTCTCAGGGATTATTAACAAGACTTACATGTTAACGGCAAAACCACAAAACGTGATAAAATTACAAGTCACATGACTGAAATTCCAAGTTTAAAGACAATTATACATGTGAACTCTAAAAAGAAAAAACATAAAAAAGAGAATTTGTTATAAAGGACAGGACACTTTCTCCCAATTTAGCATACAAAGTGAAAACCGACAGCTGTCTTTGAAAAAAAACAAAAACCAAAACAAAACATTTATTTGAACAGCCAAGAAAAAAATCGCAATTTATTAAGATTCAACAAAGCGTTGTACTTTCGGTGCAGGTTCTTCAACAATCACATTCTAGGAGGAAAACATTAAAAGCCACAAACTTGTTTTTTAATCTCAGAGTTACAGACATCTTGAATTCAAAACAAAAGGCCAAAAAAACCCAAAAAATACAACAAAAAAAAATCCCAACAAAAAACAAAAACAGACAGTCTTTATCCGTCCATCCTCAATTTTAAAACATCAGGAGTTTTTCTACAACTCTATGCTAAATGGCAGCATGGGAAGCTATTTGTCTGGCTGCACACACACACCCAAACACGCATGCACACACGCACAGACACAGGCAGGCAAATGCGCACACACGCACGCACACGCACGCACACCCATGCACATATATTTGATGTACATATGCAGGTGTGTAGACATCAAATATATAGGATGCATGTAATGGCAATGAGATGCAATTACTCTGAGGAAGGTTTATTGAGCTAAATACACTACTAAAACTCGAGAAAAAACACCTTGAACCCAGTTTGTGCATAGTTCATGATCCTCTATGAAACCAGCTTCCGTCCATCTGCAGTCTCGCACGACCCTCTTTTTTTTTTAAAATTTTTTGTTTTGATAAAACCATTAAAAAGCTAATTAAAAAAAAACGTAAAGCACAAGTCTCCTGATCAAGCAGGCAGGGAGCACAATGTTCGTGTATATATATATATTTTAAAACATACTCCAGGGTATGTTATTTCATTGTCTTTCTTCCTTTCAAAACAATCAAAACATTGATCATTTTTAAAACATAAAGCAATTTTTAATATATAAAGCACTCTTCAAACATCTATTTCTTTTGAGTCCATCATTTGGTAAATATGTAACTGCTACACATTAGAGATTAGGTATTTTTCTTTTCCTTCTTTTTTTTTTTCTTTTTTTTTTTTTAGTAACATCTTCAGTGCTAGGAGTTGGGTTTAAAAATACATAAAATGGTGTGGAGCTGCCCCTCGGGAACCCTGGCTTTCCTGAGAGCGCGTCCAGCGTGTGCAAGACAGTGACCATGACGCCTCGTCACCCTGACAGAGGGAGGAAACACGTGAGTGGAGTCCACAGCGACGGCGGGGAGGGGTCACAACGACACGGTCACCCCAGAGCTCTGAAGGAGCGCATCTCATTCGAAAATAGGTTTCTTTACGACGCGAGTCTTTTTTCTTTTTTTTTTTTTTAATTCCTTTTTAATTTTTTTTATTTTTTAATTTTAAAGTTGGATTGCAAAAAAAATGTCTGTAAACTGGTGGGAGCGGTAACATCTTGCTTTTCCACATGCAGTCACAACCCACGTCCAAGTGCTTGTCCCGTTCCTTCGGCGGGAACCACTCACTTTACAAGTATCTATGGCCACAGTTCAACAACAGTTTTTTTTTTTCTTTTTTCTCTTTAACTTTATATTCCAAATGGAAAAATGGTGCAATACTCTGGTAATAATTTTCTTGCATTAGTCCACAATAAAAAGCTGCTAAAGGTAGGTATACATATTATTTCTCCAGAGATATACACTGTAATTTTTAAACGCAGTAACACAGTCCTTGAGTAAACATTTACACGTGAATTGTCGCCGGCCCTGTCCTATGCCGCCTTCTGGATGGATAGGATCAGCTGCAGGAAGGGCCGGGACACTCAGTGCAAAGTTAGAAGCTAATAACAACAATTAAACAGTTGACCAATGCGCCAAAAAAAAAAAGCATATACTGAATAATAGGGAAAACCCACAGTTAGATCCCTCACACACTTCCAAACACACAGACACAGAAAGTGCACGCACCGACGCGCATGCACGCGCACACACACTCACACAGGTGCACACACACACATGCACGTAGGCTATGAACTCAGAAATGTTTCCTAGAGCCTGTTTCTGTGTACTGATGTTGACCTGGAAGTGTAGAATTAGAAAGTGTTCACATTTCCTTATTGGCCTGCTGGATTCAAGTATTTGCATGTTTGATATGTCTCTCTTTTTTTTTTTTTAATTTTAAAAAATATTTTTTTTGGGATTTAAAAAAAAAAGACATGAAAAAGTAATGAAACAAGGGTAATGTGCATAGGCGGATCCATGGGGATAGAGAACAGATCGCGGACCGCTCCGCCTGTCTCTGTCCGTCCGTCCGTCCGTCCGTCCGTCCACCGGTCCACTGTGGCCGGGCCGCGGCCGCGCTGCCCTCGGTACCAGCGATCAACACCGACTCCACCCCTGATTACTGGGCCGCCTCTGGTAATGTGCATAATCGTCACAGGCTCATCTTAAATAGGCTTTCCCGTCTCCCCCCCACTTGATAAAATAACCCTTTCCAGCCCACAATCTGAAAAGTGCCCTTCATGATACAACTACCCTAAGCAGCTTTGTACATACACAACCAAAATGACGACACGCCACACAGACGCAGGACAACGCAAACGAAAAGGCTAGGAAAAGACTCCTGTCGTTAGCACGCGACACTGACCAATGCAGCCGGCACTGTCTCGGGAACAGTTCGCAGGGGCTGCGGCAAAGGTCCGGCCTGGGGACTGAGTGGAGGTACTCGAAGGGCTTCCGGGCGGCTTGGGTCAAGTGGGTCCTGGGCGACGCTGGGACTGGAAAGGGCCGTGCGTCCTCTTCAGAGTGCTGATGATTATGGCTCCGGCTCGAGGGCCTAGATGGACTCCCCGCTGAGGAGGTCGCCAGGAAGCAGGGTGTTGAGTGGGGTGGGGCTGCCAATCACCCTGCCGTCGTCGGCGCTTGGGGGGCCCCACAGGCTGCTCGAGTACTGGGGCACCCCGCCCCACAGCAGGTCGCTGCTCCCTTTGCCGCCCAGGCATGGGGTGCTCCAGTGGCCGGCGTCGCTGCGCACCAGGCCGTGAGCACTGCCCGAGGCGCCCAGCCGCGTCTGGCTGGTCCCCGAGCTGGACTGCCAGCTGGAGGTGGGGGGCAGTGCTTGGCCCTGCGCTAAGAAGCGGTTCACTTCTTCCTCGCCAGCGAACTCGGCCAGGATGGTGGTGTTCCCCAGCACACACCTAGAGCAGAGACAAAGCTGATGAGTGGAGGGCTTGCGTTCTGCAGAGGCAGTGCCGCATGCTCCTTGCCTGGTGCAGAAGGGGCTGCTCAAGGCCTCCCGGCCTGGTTACCCAGAAAGCCTGAGGTTTCCTTTCTACCCCTGCTCCTCCTCAGCCCGGGTCATGCATCCCCTCTCACTTCATCTACTTTGGCACTTACGCTTACACCCGGGCGGGGACCATTTAGGATCCGTGATCCACGTCCTAGGTTCTGGCTACCGTGAAAAATAAACCAGGTGCCGTCCAGTCATCAACACTAACTCACAGCAACCCCATGTGTGTGAGAGCAGAACTGTGCTCCACAGGGTTTTCAATGGCTGGTTTTTCAGAGGCAGATTGCCAGGCCTTTCTTCTGAGGCACCTCTGGGTGGACCTGAAATCTTTGGTTGAGCAGCTGCGCGCATTAACTGTATCACCCAGGGACTCCATCTGGAAAACTAGAAATAACTAATTCCCTCCTCAGAGCTAACTCCCACATCTCCAGTGATGCTGTGGAGCTGTCTCCTCACACACCGCATCAAATGTGTTCTTGAACTACGGGACAGGCGCTGGCTGCAGGGCGACCGCTCTGCCCAGTAGTGGGAACACATCACTTTTGGGGTGTTGCTGAGGGCAGGGTGCTTCCTCTCTAGCAGTGGGGTCTATGTTTACTTTCCTGGGGAAGCATTGCCCTGGTGGAGGGCGTAGTGGCACACAACCTAACAGAGCCAGCACCCGAGACCCCAGCCTGAGCCAGGCCGTGCCGTGGGCCAGGGGGCGGGAGGGACGCACATATGTAGGGACTTCTGGGCCTTGGCGGCCTCCTCCTTGGAGCTGTAGCGGACCACGGCGTTCCCCTGTGTCAGGTTCAGGTGGAATGTGATGAGGGGGCCGTGCTGCAGGCACAGCGTCCGCAGCGTGGAGCCGTCGATCTGAACGGGGAAGAGAGACGGTGTCACTCGCCGCCCACCATCGCGCTCACCGCATTCCTCACTAAGACTGGCGAAACGCCTTTCCTGAAGAGGCCTTCGCCTCTGTGCCAGGTGGCTTGTTCTATTCTGGGATTAATATCTACATGTAGAATCTGCCACTCTAACCGTTTCTAAGTGTACAATTCAGTGGCATTAAATATGTTGCACGTCGTACAATCCTCACCACAATCTACTTCCAGAACTTCCAAACAGGAACCCAGCACCCTCACGCAGTCTAACTCCCCGTTCCGCGCCCCCCCGCCCCTGGTAACCTCTGACCTACTTTGTCTCTATCAATTTGCTACCATGTGGCTTCTTTTTTTTTAAATTGTACTTTAGATGAAGGTTTACAGAACAAATAGTTTCTCATTAAACAGTCAGTACACACATTGTTTTATGACATTGGTTAACAACCCCACGACATGTCAACACTCTCCCTTCTTGACCTTGGAGGATCTCTTCTTTTTTTTTGGGTGAAAATATACATAGCCAAAGATACACCATTTCAAAAATTTCTACATGGCTGCCATATGATTTTTACATCTTGGATCTTTCCATCTATCTGACGAGTTGGCTAACCAGAGGAAGTAAAACCGTCCCACGATGGGGTGTGATGTCATCCGACAGATGTCATCCTCTTGTCAGATGACATCACATAGAGCCTTCGGCTTACAAAGGTGCCAGGGCCAGGTGGCTTCGTGGCTCCTGACCTGACTCCTGGAGATGAGCAGGTGGGTGGGTCACATGGAGTGGGCAGGGTCACTGGGACCACACAGTCTGCATAACCAAGTCACGCTGGAATGGGTACAGTCACACATTCCCCAGCAGACCCTGGCCACAGCAGCTCACCGCCCCACACTTGCCCAGGAAGCTCTGGAGCCTGGTGCCGGGTTGGCACTGCCCTGATGGCCTGGTCTGCACTGAGGAGTGGTCTGTGTGCGCATGCGTGTGTGTGCACAGGGGGGTGCTTCGTGGTGGCGTACTGGGCGCGCTCACCTGGGGCGTGAGGTTTCGAAGAACGAGCCAGCTGCTGGTCCTTCCTGAGGTGTCAGTACTCCAAGCGGAACCTGCGTGGCAAGGCCAGGAGAGCGCTCAGCGTAGAGGCCGTGGGTCAGACAGCCAGCGTGTCCTCATCCAGGTTCCTCATCTGACCTCACAGTTACGGTGACAGACTAGCCCTGCCTGGCCTAAGACAGCACTGTTCAGCCTCTGAACTCTGAACTCAGATCTCAGTCCCTGCAGACCCCTCCCGCCACGGAGACCTGTGTGAAGACGGGGACGGGACGGGCGCGGGAACCCTGGCCTCCACCCCTGCCTGGCCCAGGCCCCCAGTTAGAATCAATGCTGGAAAACTCTACTCGTTAGAAAATAAACAAAAACACCACATACGCTGCTGCCACTAAAACATTTAAACAATTATTTTCAAATTACCTGCAGAAACTTAAATCTCCACTTTCTTAAGTTACTAGTACACGGCCTTCATCCCTTAGAGCCTCGCTGGGCACCCAACGGGGCCCACACGGATATAATAGCACGATAGTCATGGCTTTTAAACTGGGCTTTCCTTGTTCTTTCTGGAAAGGCCTATGTTCAAATGAAATCTCAGGGAGAAGCAAATATAAAACACAGAAGCAGGACGCTTGTGTGGATCACTGGGGGCTGGAGTGGGCTGGCGGGGTGGGACACCTGGAGGCCGATGGAGGGGCTCTCCAAGGGCCCCGAGTGCCACTGGCATGACGGGGGCAAGGGGCAGTTGGACCTCCTGGCCTAGCCAAGGCCCTGACCATCTAGGGTGGCTGCTGACCCCTCTCAGGACAGCTGAAGGGACACAGTGGTAAGGTCATTCCCTAGGACAGATAAGCCCCTGCGCCCCCTCCAGAGCAGTGCGTACCCGAGGAGTAGGAGCTGGTCCAGCCGAGGGGGCTGGCTCCCCAGGTGGAGGAAGGCTTGGGGTTGGCTAAGCCTGGAGGCGGCCGTGTGGGCGCAGTAGTGTTTCTGGGCACCTTCCACAGTTCGTGAGACAGGGAGGCTTGGGTGTGGGAGGCTGGGCCGGCGGACCACGTGGACTTGATGTCTGACAGCTTACCTGGAAAGGCACAGAAAGGGGGCACACACTTCTTGAGGCACAGGAGAGCAGGCCTGGCTGAGTCACAGGCCCACAGGGGGAGAAACAGTGTCCTCTGACACCAGCAGGTGGCTCAGTGAGACCAGAGGCACCAAGCAAAGCCCCCGGAGGTGAGAACAGGTGCAAACGCTCAGAGGCGTGTCTGAGGCGTCTGGCACAGATTCCGTCAGTGTTTTCAGTTCTTCATCGATTTGCAAAGTGTCGCTGTTGTTGCGTGCTGTCAAGCCCATCCCGACTCATGGCAACCCCACGGCACAGAGTAGAGCCGTTCCGTAGGGCTTCCTAAGCTGTAATCTTTACAGGAGCAGATCGCCACATCTTCCCCCTGCGGAGCTGCTAGGTGGGTTCCAACCGCCAACCTCTCGATTAGCAGCCAAGCGCTTTAACCACTGTGCCACCAGGGCTCCTCTGCTAAATGTACCAGACACAAATCTGCCACCAAGAAAAAAGAATTTCACGGTTCAACATTAAAGCTAACTTTTCTTCATATTCTGTAGACTCTACACACCCTGTAATTTAACACAATTAATCACGGAGAAGACACAACGCACAGCTCCTTTCTCTGCTACTCCTGCAAGTCTCGGCCTTTGCAAAGGGACGTCCTGCCCGCCTACTGCCTTTCCCTGAGCTGCAGCTCCAAGTGTCTGCACGCTGTGGCCGGGGCCCGAGGCCACGGCTCAGTGTCTCGGCACAGTTCAGGCTGTGCGGGAGCGAGCACACCCAGTCACCAGCGGCAGAGGCAGCGCCGCACACAGCCAGGTCTGGAGCAGGCCACGCAGAGCCCACAGAGCCCTCCATCGCCCGCCTCGGCGGCCCAGGGCAGGCGAGGGCAGGGATGCTGGTTGTACAGGGGTCCCTGTGCCCTGCAGTGACCAGGCCAACATGGATGGTATCCTACACGCACCCCTGGGGCAGCCTCCGGCCCTTGCCCACAGAGGTGGAACGGCTATTGGAATCAACTGTGATTTCATAATGAACAGGCACTGATTAGAAAAACAGAAAATGCCACGAGAAGTCACCTTAGATACTGGGAAGATGATTTTATTGCCCCTTCTCTTTAGCTGAAAGCTCAGAGAACTATTAAAGGTCTAAAAACATCCCCTTTTTAAATGCTAGAAGGAATAAAAATTATCTAAAAGCTTTTTTTTTTTTTTTTTTTAAATGAGATGCTAAACTACTTTCCCCCAGATACTGATCTCAAAAGAATTCCTCCAGCATCATCCCGCGGGTGTAAATGAAGTCAGGTGGAATACAGAAAACATCTGAAGAAGCCTGTGAACAGTCAGCTCTCCCTGGATAAGCTCTGCATCTATCTCTGCACAAACCCGCTCCACGTGGTATGTGTGCATGCTCACGTCTCTTTGTACCCTTGGCTTCAAACGTCAGCTCGAGCTCCTCTAAGCTTTCAGGACAACTCTCAGTGCTGCCCTGAGCCTGAGAAACTTCCTGCACGGGAGACCTGCATGGTGTGCAGTGACGGGGGACAATCAGGTGACACACATCAGGGTCACGGGCAGCAGCCACACCGGGTGCGGGGAGTTAGTGATGGTTTCCTCCATCCCTGATGGGAAACCCAGGTACAGCCTGCCTGCTCCCTGCTGTGCAGCCCTGGGGGAGGGAGGAGAGGTGAGGACCCGGGCATTTAGCCAGTAGCTCCGTGTCCCGGCCTGCGCTGGGCATTTTACAGACGTGTCCCGTCCACGGCGACCCTCCAGAGGAGACACTGTTGCTCCCCTTCTAGATGTGATGGCCCATGGCCATCAGGGCAAAGTCCCTGCCCATCCTCCTCTGCACACGACCTCCCACTCGCTGAGCGGGTACACAAACCAGCAAGGAAAACTAGGGCCTGTCAATGTCCAGCTGGGGAAAGAAAGAAAATGCTCCCTGCAAGGTGGGAGGCCCGTGCATACCCGCAACGCTAGGTGCGGATGCAATGCTGCTGCAAGAGCTCCTGTAGCCGGAGGCACTGAGCGGCCAGGCACTGGAGGAAGGCAGCGCGGTGTTCTGGGCTGACGGCGGGGAGGGCCCTGCAGAACCAAACAGGCACAAAGACGGCAGCGGCTGACTGGGCAGCAACCCTAACTCCGGGCCGCGAGGATTTTGGAACCCGCAAGCACATCTCCTCCTGAGCTGCCGTTTTGGATAATGGCTGGAAATGAAAGTGTGACATGGTCCAGAGCCCCCGCCAGGCCTCTCGTTCCCGAGGGCCAGGAGGCAGAGGCCGGGGTGCTGCGCTAGCTTCTCTGAGGCGGCGCTCGAGTCACAGGACACGAGGATGATCATCGGAATTGTCAACACATAACGTCAGGGCTTCAGAGAATCACACTGATTTCCCTTCCCAAGTGAGATCAAAATAAAAACACAGGGTGTGCTTCGTATTTTCACCCCTCAAACAATATCCACAAAATTAAAAAAGAAAGCAAAATGAAACTCCAAGCCTCTTATTATCAATTATGCCATAAAAATACCAGCACTTTTCACGAAGTGAAATGTTCCCACGTCTCAGGCATCTCACAACCTCCCGTTCACATTTCTGTTGCAATACAGGGGTATCGAAGACAAAGTCTGTCCTAGGAACGTGGGTTCCCTGTGCTGGGGAGGGGCATGTGGATGTTCCCTGACCTGGGGAAGCTCCGCCCAGGCTGCTGCTTGCTGAGTTTTCAGGTCCCGCCTTCACAACTCTCTGAGGAAAGGCGCAGCTGGGGAAGAGAACCAGGATGGAGCGGAGTCGGGAGAAAGGCGGATGGAAACAGAGCTCCTCTGGTTGGGGCAGGACGGAAGGATGGCATCTGGCTGTATCCCTCACTACCACAGAAGAATCAGGGGCTCCCAAAGGATGCGGCACCCTGCTGCAGGGCCCGCCTGGCATCCTTCACACAGAAGACAAGGCACACGCACCTCCTCAATGGTGCAGTGCTCAACCTGCACAGCTGTGCGCAGCTGTCCTGCCATAGCAGCTGCTTTAGGAGGAGGCCTCCAGAGATGATGAAAATTAAACTTTACTCGCAATCTGCAGCCCTTCGATTTGATGAAAAGGAACGCGCTGGCTCTGCTGACAGCCTGAGTTTACCGCCCCCCTTTCTTGCGTGGACTAAACCAGCGGAACCCGGCGACCCTACAGGACAGAGGAGAGCTGCCCCATGGGCCTTCCAGGCTGTCATCTTGACCGAAGCAGACTGCCATGTCTTTCTCCTGGGAAGTGGCTGGCGGGTTTGAATCACTGACCTTTCAGTTAGTGGCTGAGCACTTAATCACTGCACCACCAGGGCCTGTGTACTGCAGCTCTAAACCAAACCAAACCCACTGCTGACTCATAGCGACCCTACAGGACACAGCAGAACTGCCCCACAGGGTTTCCAAGGAGCAGCTGGTGGATTCAAACTGCCGACCATTTGGCTAGCAGCCAAACGCTTAACCACTGTGCCACCAGGGATCTGTTCATATACTGGCAAAATGTAATCAATCTGAGATCCCAAGACTATAGATTATTTAACCTGAAGTGGTATTCTTTTATAATTAATAACAAGGTACTCAGATTTTAACAGTGTTCTGGCTTTGCAAGTATTAGCTCTAATAGTGGAATTTATTCCATAAAGTTAGTTAAATTCTCTGGTGGATGGAGTGCTGGTGTAAACATGTTGTCAAATAGCAAGAGTGTAGTCACTGTCTGGTTAAGTTTCACTTCGTGAGGGTTAGAACTGTGAATAACATCAAAACAATTACTGGCTAATGTAAATTTTTAATATCAGGTCAGAACTTAATGCCAATGGAAATAAGAATAAAAAACGCAAATAGAAAAAACCCACGCCCAATACTCACAGTAAGATAAAACTGGGGAATTCCACTATGAAAAGATGTAAAATGACTCAGCCACTATCAACAGATTTATGACTCCCTCTCACTGTTTTTCTCCTATGGTATGTTTTCCCTCTCCCTACCTGGATCTCACTGGCCACTCAACACTCCAAAGCCGTCAGTGGCTGACACTGCAGCCAGGACAGCCAGGAGAAGTTCTGAGGCCCCTCCCTGCGGTGGGGCCGTGCGGAAGGTCTGATCGTCCACTCTTCCTGCGCGGTGGTGGTGTGCCTTTAACCACTTCTAGATAGAAACGCGCTCATTACACTCACCTTGCTCTCAAACAACACACCCTAACACGCACCCTAAACAGAGCCAGGAGGGACACCTGGGCTGGCCCTGGGTGACAGCGGGGCCTGGAGACCTGCCCAAGACCTATGATATTCCCATAACCCTAAATATGAGGTCCCCAGCAAGCTTAGAACATGAGTGCAGAGGTCAGGGTCACCCAGAGAGAAGGCCGTCTTATTTCTTTAATTTCAGCAGTGGAGATGCCATTTTTCTTGTCTTATCTCAAAGGCCAGTGTATCTCTAATGGTGAAATTCCCTTCTGCCTTTAAGTCCATCCCATTCACCATGCACTCTACGAGACCGGGAAACGGCTGCTGAGCTCTGCCCTCACAATGCACGGATTTCTCCAGGCCACTTCCACCACATCAGGGCACACGAGGGTAACTGGCAGAGGCTGTCTACCATGTCCCAGGTGCCACACAATGGCTGAAGGGACAGTACAGCCGTTCAGGATGTCTGAACGTGCGTACCAGTCAGGAAGGTCTACTCTACACCACGGAACCTCCATCCTTCCTTCTTGAACAGCACCACCTCACCACACCGCCCACAACCCTCACAGCAGCCTCCTCTGTCCCTGCTGACTCAGCACCACCCACAACCCTCAGAACAGCCTCCTCTGTCCCTGCTCTGACTCAGCACCACCTCACCACACTGCCCACAACCCTCACAGCAGCCTCCTCTGTCCCTGCTGACTCAGCACCACCCACAACCCTCAGAATAGCCCCCTCTGTCCCTGCTCTGACTCAGCACCACC